TCACTCTGAATGTTCCCCCTTCCTCCTTTTCTTCCCTGTCTTTTATTACTGAACTGATGTCATGTGGAATATCTCTTGGGTCATCCTTGTGGAATATCTCTTGGGTCAGTTGGGGTCAGCTGTCCTGGCTGTGTCCCTTCACAACTCCTTGGGCACCCCCAGCCTGCTCCCTGGTGGGGTGAGGAGCAGAAGAGGCAAGCACTGCTGCAAGCTGTGGAAGCACTGCTCAGCAGTACCTAAAACATCCCCGTGTTATCAGTGCTGTTTCCAGAACAAACCTAAAACATTACCCCATAGTAGATACTGTGAAGAAAAGTAACTGTACTCCAGCCAAAGACAGCACAGTAACTCAAGGGCAGCTCTTTCAGTTGTGCCACCAAGTGTATCTATACATTGACCCTCCTCTGTCTCCTTATCAGCAAAGGCACAAGGAAGGAGAAGCAATTTTCAGTCCTTGTCCTTCACATGCTGCGGCAGGAGACGCAGGTTCACTTCCTTGTACTCCCTGTTTTCTGTAAGATTCTTGACAAAGTATCTCCTCTCAAAAGGTTGCCAGTCAAACAGGAGGGAGGCAAAGGGTGATTGCCCTCCGCCCCTGTTCCTCCTTTCCCTGTTTTCTTTAGGATTACTGAAGTATTTTACTGTCCATGCACCCAGCAGAGTCTGAGGAGCAGTGATGGGAGAAGAGATGGAGAGGCCAGTGGCCAGAGTTCATCTCTCAAAGCAGTGTGCTAATTAGGCACCTTGTCAGGCTTGTCCTTATGTCTCTTCAACACTTGTAGTTTTGCCTGCCCAGTGGCTTGTAGTGCATACATGTGACTTGAATACATTCCTGAAGCCTAAAAGCTCTGGGATTATGGTTTCTAGGGTGATGGGGAGATTTGATTTATGTCTCTTCCTATTGCTTCCTTCAGGAATAATTCTCGCTCAAATGGCCACCCCCTCTCCACATGCATGCAAGGCTAAAATCCTTGCACTGGGGTGTGTTTCAAGGCCACCTTGGAGGGTCAGGCCAGCCCAGATCCTGCTGGAGAGAGGCAGGCAGCCTTGAAGGAAGAATCTAACTTCTGGGGGTGGGGGAGTTTTGGGTCAGGTGGAGCCGCAGGGGAGGCTCAACAAGGTTTTGTGAGTCACAGTTTTGGACTTGGGTACTTGAAGACTCTCTAAGTCTGGTTACCGGCACATCAGTGTGAATCACAGATTTGTTTTCCTTTGAGAGGTGTTCCTCTTCCTTCTGCCCGAGGAGATGATCTTGCAAATGTAACTGCAAGCTCCTAGAAAGTTGTGAAGAGAGAAATTCAAATCAAGAGAAATACCCCAAAAATACGTGTTGGTTGCTTGAAAATATCAAAGCTGTTAAAACCGGCCGCCTACCTCCTGCGGGCCTGACTCACACATGCCTGCTAATGCTGTGGGTGCAACAAGAGACACTGGGCCGAGCATTGGTAAAGGAGGAGCACAAAGGCAGTATCCAGTGATGACAGTTGAAAGGAGGATTAAAAAGAAAGTTCTCAGCATCTCCTTGAGACTAGTTCAGACACGAGTAATTCCACTGGCTCCAGGGAATGCTGCTGTATGTCCATGTCAGCGGGGAGCCTTTGGCTGTGGCAGTGGCTGAATGGCATCCTCAGCAGCCAGAAAGGCTCATCAGGATGTAACCTGTTTGACTTGATGTCTGGAGGCCAGGAAGGACACAAGGTTCCTTGTGCTGTGCTTCATGTTTTGGGCTTTACACTAACCACTGCTTCAGCAGATGTAAATACTGAGGAGAAGTAGATGCAAACTTTCCAGATTCTCTTCTGCTTGTGGTTACCTCCCTGCTGTGGCGTGATGGGGAAGGAACAGGGAGGTTGCAGGGATTTGTGATTGATGGCTGTGTTCTGTAAGTGTTCCTCTGCTGTGAAACATCTCTGTCCCTCAGTTATTCTGATTTCTCCATGCAGATAGCTCAGCTCAGCACACAGTTAGTTTGGGACTGCTAATACAGTATGCTCACTGTCTGGGAGCAGCTGATAATGTACTCATGCTGGGTTAAGATTTTCCAGAAAAGAGATAACATTTGCAGATGGCTTGGGCTGACTCCTTTGGCTTCATCTTTTTTATTGATAGTTGAAAGCAGTACACATGACCAAGCTATGGAAAGCTTTAAAAAGTGTCCTCCCTTACCCTGTTTTTTTTTAACTGCATTGATAGTTCCTCTCTTTATCTCTTGAGTGACTACAGTAGACACCAATCCTTTTCTTCAGCCTTCCTTGTACCTTTTCTGCACTGAAGAGCTCTGTGCTCTTTGTCATCCTCTTCTCGGAATACCCCAGAGGGATCAAGACAGCTCTTCCAGACACAGGTTTTCACTCTTTTTTTCCTCCCACACAGCTCTCTTTTCCAGTGGATTCACTTTGCCAGGTTATGGTTTCCAAAGAATCCATTCTAAATTTCCAATATTTAACATCAGATTTTCTAGTCTTGGAAACCCTAGGTTGTTGCCAACCCAGAGTTTAGGGATTGATTGCACAAGCAGACTAGCTAGCCATTCTGAAGGGACAATAACTTCTATGAGCCAAGAAGTGGTGAGCAATTGGCAGGTGATGAGGAACAACAGGATGATCCTTCCACTTGCACTGTTATAACCAGAAGAGACCCAGAGTGGAGAAGAATCATCTACTTACGGACCACCTGCATGATGCATGTCTGCATCTTTGATGCTCAGCCTGGACTTACTTTCTGTTCAAGGGTCCACTGTAGCCATGGATTAAGAGTATGAATTATTTTACCCTAAAGTTTTTTGATTGAACAGGACAGAATATTTGTGTTCCAAAAGGTTCTTGTTTTTTGGTTTTGTTTTTTTTTTTTTTACATTGGCTATAAAAGGACCCTAACTAAACATTTTACACTTTCTGACTGAACTGAATCCATCCAAACATGATAGCATCCTTTATATGAAGGGTGTAGTTCTACCTGAGGCATAATCACAGTCATTTGCCTAATTTCCTACTTAGTGGGCTAAGAGCAAGGCTGTTTATTAGCAAAGCAGCTGCAAGGAAGTTGCAGCCCTTTTCTTTTAAGGCTGATTTTAGTACTCAAAACCAAAAACTTTCACTCTACAGTAAATTGGCCAGATAACGTAATTCCACGGCAGCCCATCCCAACCCAACCTTTTCCTCCCCTCCAACTGATCAACTCTTGGCCTTTACAAAGTGATAATGAAAGACCACACAGAGATAATTGCTCATAATTGTCAGGGAGGAGCTTTGCCAGCTCCTTGAAGGTTCTCATGGTATGTTCTTGTATAGGAACCAAACCAGCAAAGTGCAGTGGAAGATGTTTGGCCACCCCAACATGTGGTAAGAATTTAAAGCAAATGTCAGGTGTCGGTTTTGGAAAGTTACTGAGTTTTGAAGACTGAAGTTTTGGGTGGTCATGTTCCCCCCTCATCAGCTGAGCATTATCATGACTGCCCTGGGAAAAAAAGGGAAGATTTCAAACTCTAAAGAGCAGCTGATAAATATTGGATGATAGCAGGGAGGCCACGCTGAAAATGTGCAGGGTAAATACTGAGTTGTGCTTTTCTGCAGTGTTGACTTTGAATGAACTGGACATTTTAATGGTGACATTGCACCTGTTTAAATAAAGGAGTGGATAAAATGGATGTTTAAAGGCAAGTTTCTCCTGTTCAGCTAACAGTGGGGATACTTTATAGGCATGTGCCACTTATCAACAATATAAGCACAAATAAAATTTGTCTCACACATCTCTGACAAAGGAATTAAATTTTACCTGTAATTTATAGTTTGAGATAGAGAAGTTAAGCTTTTTTTTTCCTTTTTTCCCCCCAAATTCTATGATTGTATCTGTCTGTGTCTGCATGCTTGTTTTAGAAGGTGGCTGAATATCTCTCAGCTGTATTGTCTTTTCTATGCGTGCCCTGAAATGGTATTCGTAGATGTTTGCAAAATGTTAACTGGAGAAAATGCAGTGAGGCTTTCTCACTTATGGGCTCCATCACTGTTGGCAAACATTTTTGCCATTATTGTGTGTAGGTGTCATCTCTACTTCAGTCTTAAGTTTCTCAGCAGTCAAATGTGATTAAGCAGTTTCTGGCTTTTCCTCTCATTCCTTTGCAGATGTATTAAGTGAGCCATGAAAGACATAAAGAGGCTATGCATGCTGCTGGGGGCTTGCCCAATTTTAGCACAGTTTGAGGGCAGCTGCATGCTCTCAGGAGCAATGCAGGCATCTCTCCATTACTTACACTTGTTTAATAATGTAGTCTCTCGAATGCACTGCTCTTTCTGGATTGCCTTATGGTGTGACTTCAGGGCTCATTTCCACTAGCTGAGGGGCAGAGGTAGAAATGGAGAAGGATAGACTTGAAAGGAGTGTTTTACTGTCTTGCAATGGAAAAGATCAAGTCTACCCTTGAAAGGGGTGAGGGTGGAGTATGGGTGACACCAGACTTCTCTGAAGTTGGTCTTTGCCTCCCTAATTCGCACTTGTGTGACTGAGAAGAATATATGGGATTTTAAATTTTGCCTTCTCACTTTTTTGCAAACTAAGGAATGACTGGTTGGCCCCTGCCCTCCTTTTACTGAAGTCACTTCTCATTTTCCTGTGAGGTGATGCTCACAGGGAGGCACATCTCCACTCTCCCCACCCTCAGACAGGGGCAGAGATCAAGTCAGGAATGCTCCAAAGTCTGGGACTAAGCTCTTGGCAGTGATTTATATCTCATAAACATGATATCGCAGTATGGCATCTAGCACATATCCTGAATCTTTGTTAAATAAAGAACAGGGAAAGGTTTTTCTTTTTAAAAATCTCTTGCTTTTTCTGCTCCTTTTGATTTGAGCTTTATTTAGTGACAAAGTTTGGGGAAGGGGGAAGAGGGAAGGGTATCCTCCAGAGGCTGCAGAAAAAAAGAGTACTTTCTTAATATCCCTCACCAAGTACAGATAAGCCTGACTGAACCCCTGCTGACAGCAGGCTCTGCTTTCTTTCCACAGTCTCCATTGAAGATATTCGGGATGTGAGGGCAGGCCATAAAACAGAAGGCATGGAAAAATATGCCAAGGATGTCCCAGAGTATCGCTGCTTTTCCATCATTTTCAAAGACCAGCGGAAAAACCTAGACCTCATTGCGAGTTCGGAGGACGATGCCAACCATTGGATCTCTGGCCTTGCGAAAATCATAGCCCACAGCAACTCCATGAACCAGAAAGAGAAACTCCAACAGTATCCTTTGCGTTATAAAGTGATTAATCACAGACAAAGATGCACTTGTCTTTCTCTGTGGGTGGAGATAGTAGACTAACACCCTTTTGTCGTATTAACCGTGGGCACCGAGTTTTCTCTCGCACTGGTTTTGCACTCAGGCAAACTCTCTGGTTTCCAATGCTTTTTCCCCCTGTTTTACGGTGATACCAGCAAGAGTCAATTCAGGCTTAACATATCTCTTGAAGCAAAGAATTGCCTCTTTCAGGGAACTCCAGATAAAACAGTCATTATTTTTTTTTGTATTTCCCAGGGGTCTGTTTCATTTGTATTGCAGTAAACTCCAGGACAGGCACTTCTTGGTGAGGCATGAAAAGACAGTACTGTCTATCACGTTTCTCAGTAATACAAGGCGAGGGAACTGATTCTTCTCTTCTGACTGCCAAATTTACTGTGGGGTAGCTCCAATGACTTTGGTGAAATTACTCCTTGATTGCCTCGGCATGGGAGGAAGTTTTGCCCCAAAAGAATCTGTGAATGCTCTACTGACAGTTCAGACATCAGAAAGGAAAATTAGCAGAGCAGGAAACGAGGCTGAGTTAGTTGTGAAACGGAGCAGGAGTGGATTATTGGGTGAAATCCTGTCTCTGATGATTTCACAGGGAATTTTCCCTGGGGCTGCATTTCAGTTACTAAGTTGCTTTGCAGTCACAGCTCTCACATCCATAAAATGAGAAATTATCTGTGGGCACAGTTTTTGATGGATTTTCTCCAGTGCCTGTAATTCTGAGACACTAACCATGACCTGAACCTGCTGGCTGATTTCACTCTCATTTGACAGAGTTGCATCAATCATAAAATCCTTTAAGCTTTGTGAAGATAGGCATCCAGCTATCAGAGTGAACAGATAGTGTTCTCAGACAGAGAAAGCTGTGTGAGTTTCATGCCTTGTTCATCTCCACATCTGTGGAGAGGAGGGTAGAAGCAAAATCCTCAGCTGGGGAAAGTCACAGAGCAGGAGTCTGAGCATAAGCAGGCAGCAGGGAGCCTTGCCCTCAGTCAAGGCTTCACTCCATGTGGATTCCCTGCTGGGTAATGATGTACTGATGCTGAAGGAGGTGGCACATGAATGCTGAGCTTTCATAAGGCTTTTCTATTCTGTGGATTCTCTGAAGTCTAATAAGCACTTGCACAACCTTTGCACTTGCACAACTTTCCACAACTAATAGTGCTGCTCATTTAAAGGAATCAGACTCGAGTAGTTCTGATGTGCTGTGTTTATCTCCTGCACTATGAGTGTCTTTTTGGATGGTTTTTCAAGCCCTAGGCTGTAAAGTCATTCCTCAGCAGTGTTACCATTTGTGTGTCCATAGTGATAGGGAGCAGTCCCTAGACAAGTTGGAAATGTGGTACCCTGGCAGTTCTCTTTTAGATGTGAAGGCTTCCTCCACTCCTCAATGTGTGGGGAAAATCTGGGCTACAGAAAGTTGTCCCTGGCGTGTGTCAGGTTGAATATATTGCTGAAAAACTTCCCCGTAAGAAATGACAAGATTGCTAAAGGGGGAAAAATAACAATGACATTTGCAAGGGAAGAAGGCTGTAAATTTCCAGCATGGAAAAGTGCCTCTCTGTCTTTGGAAAGCAGAATAGAAGCTAAATAGGGTGGGTAGGCAAGCTGTATTTCTGGAAGAGTAATTACCGTGCAGTGCTGGCTTCCAATCTGGGATTGTCTCAGGCCATTTAACGTAACCTGGAATTACAGAACAGCATGATTTCTCATTTGAAATTTGATGATGTTTAATTAAAGCCTGGGATTTTAAATTTAGTCTGTCTTCACTGGGTTTGCTTGGCAGTGTGGGCTCACTCAGATCTTCCTTAAACCTCACAAGCTTTCTCCACATCTGTGAGCACAGATGGGACAAGGCAGTGCATGAGGAGAAGTGTTGGGTCCCCTGCCTGTCCCCCATGACTGGAGAGTTGCCTTGCAGTGTATCTCTTCCAGCCTCTAAAACCTTGCAAAGCAAGTAAGGAATGTGCAAGGTTTTCAAAACAAATATGAAAACAAAAACCTTTCTAGTTTCAGATGGGTTTTGTCCTGTTTATAATATGATGGAGTTGCCTGTGTTAGCAAGGTGTTTTATTTAGTGTCTTATGTGTCCTTTCCAGCCCCACATGCTTGATGAGTACTTCTGATGTTTTTAAACATACAGTGCTGTTTCACTAAGCCTCAGATTCAACCCTGCAACAAGCTGGCAGAGACTATTTAACAAATATTCCAGGCATGTGTGCAGGGAAGACTTTAGACCAGAAAATACAGGGGACATTTCATTTTAGCAGTGTGGCACCATCTGCTTCAATTCTGGGATTTAAATATGAGCGTTTCTTCTGGTTGGAAAACACTTACCAGAAGTTTTGCAGCATTTCTCTTCTGAGCACATTCATGGGATATCTGCCAGATAGTTTCAGTCATTCCTCTTTGGTTTCTAATAGAAAGCTGGTAGGCTTGGAGCTGGCAGATCCTGTAAAAACAAGAGGCAGGAAGCAGGCTCTCTCCGGATGTATACAGGCATGGGAACAGCTTTTTCCAAGTCCACCCAGGAGGCCCAAATGGGTGCGTAAGGTGAAAGGAGACCCACAAGCAGGGCTGCAAAATGGTGTTTGTATCAGCTGAGAATTTCAACTGAAGTGTGTAGGTCATCCAGCTCCTCTAAATCCTCTCAAACCTGAGGGATCCAGGTGCATGGGGAGTTTGAGTGTTTTGGGGACTAAACTCTGCGGTTCGCTGCAGCAACAGGCTGAGGCTTCAGTTGTCCTTAGTCTCCTTTTTCTCTCTTTGCTGCTTGCCCTTGCAGTGAGAGGGCCCACTGTGTGCCTGTGCTTTTTGTGGGCTCTCTGATTTACCTCCTACTGGAATGGATAGAGCAGGAAAGCATCCTCCATTCACAGGCAGGACCCTGGCATACACTTTTGCAGATGCATTTGCTGCCCACATACTGCTTTCCAGGGTTGACTTTGGATATATGCATGACCTCTGGGTGCTCATCCTCCATGGAAATGACTGCAGACTTCTAAAATGGTGGGTTTTTTTGCAGTGCTTACAGCAAAAAGAGTAATTTCTACACACAGTTAGTGCTGCCTAACCCTGCTGCTCACCTGGCCATGACAGACTGGATTTCCTGTTGGCTCACAAGTGCTGCACATTACTCCTGCCTGTTCTTTTTAAGGAGGGCTGTGAAGGGGAGCTGGGGTGTGAGGGTCAGGTATGAATGGATGGCATTGCTGTTGGCACCATGTTGACATGCTGAGCAGACCCTCTCTGGAGCACATGTTGTGGAGGGGGACGGGTTTCCACCCGCCATGGATGGAACTGTGTTCCCAGCAGAGCATCCTCTGTGCATGGGAGCTTCATGACTCGAACTTGGTTTTCTGGGAAGAATCAGACCCTGGTTCAGGGCCCTGGAGAGAGCTGGGAAATGCAGCCTCTCTTTATTTTGGTTTCCGTGTCTAAAGAAAGGGAATATTAATATTACCAGGCTTAGACAGAAGGGTGTGAGGTCATTGCTTAGCACCTGCCAAGATTTTTAAAGACAGAAAGTTCAACTTTCCATGAGACAAACAATACTTACAAACAGTTTACACTTACCTCCATAGTTCAGAAACACTTGAATGCAGTGGTAGCTGTGGTGAATGCTTTGTTTTAGGGTTATGTCTACAGACCCTAAGGCAGTCAGTTAATGCCCTTTTTGGGGGTTATTTCGAAAGGCCCAGTTAAAATGTTATGGTACTAAATGCCTCAGCTGGTATTTGCTGATCCTGATGTTTACTCTGCTTAATATACAGGTTGGGCATTTTTAAAGATGTTTTTCAGAATGAATTTGAAGCAGTGCTTCCCGTGCAAGATACAGAAGGTTATATTTGTGGAGATCAAATCGTTACTTTGATCATTTTTCTATTGAAAAATAGGGTATTTTTCGGGATGCTTTTCTTACTTGACAGTAAAGCAAATTAGAAAGAGTCAGTTCCATGATGCAAAAAAGAATGAGTTTTTTGTTATTTAAAAAAGCAAGGTACCTCAACTGTCTAACATTATTTTCCTGAGAGACTGAATGAACATGGGAAATCCAATTCAGATTATCTGACATCACATTAAATAGCTCACTTTTTTAGTAATTACTCCAGATCCATAGATATACTAAAGTTATTATAAACTAAGCTCTTATGAACTACTATCACAGTATGATACAATATTAGATCCCATGCATTTCATGAAGGGTAGCCAAGACCCACAAAGTTTGGTTTGATTCTGCCCACAACAGAGTTCTTAAGACATAGCTAGAAATCCCTGAAAAAATACAGAAGCTGAAGGTGAGTCCAGAAATTTGTATTAATGCTTCTTTTTAGAAAATCTCTGCTCTTTGTTCACTTTGGTATACTGAATACTGATCAAATCTGTAATAATGAGTTTACCAAGTTGTACTTGAGAGCTCTTTTCATGCTTCCTCTATCCCCTTTAAACAGTCTAGAGCAGAATGTACTGTCTGTCATAAAAGAGAAATCAGACTGTTTCTGGCTGTGGCCAGAAACTCCTGCAGGGTACAGAAAGCTGATCCAGCCTTTGGCCAGATGGTGAAAAGCTTCTCCTGGGTCACAGTAGCTTGTATTACAGTGCATTTTGCTTCTGCCAAAGCACCATTTTGCTCTTTCAGAGAAGAAGGTGAGATGATGTAGGCTGTTCAGTGGTAGCATGCTGATTTGCAGTAGCTGGAGAGGTGGTTCAGAGCCTTTATAAGAGGATTTCCTCCCTGCCGTGGGCAGCAGAAGGGTGGTATTTAGGCTAGGCACTGACCTGGAAAGATTTCCTTACATCATCCTGCAGCTGGATTCATACCTGCCTGCGGAAAGCTGATAAAAACAAAGACAACAAGATGAGCTTGAAAGAGCTCAAGAATTTCCTGAAAGAAGTGAACATTGAAGTTGATGACTATCATGCCAAGAAGATTTTTCAGGTAATGAGAGCAAGCAGATAAATTATTTACTTTTGTCTGAGGTCAAGGTCTCCCACAGCTTTCACCTTTTGTTGGAGACCTAAGCTAAAGTGAGCTCCTAGCATCTTTTCTTGTACCAAGGAAGCACTCTTGGGTTTTGGTGCTCAGCAGATTCCCACTAAGACCTAAGTTAGGCCAGCACAATGTTTTTCGTTAATGTGTGCTAAGTTCTTTCTCTGCTATTGATGCCAAGGATTTAGAGGTGAGATGCAAACATGGATAATGTGAGATAAAGGGAAAAACAAAGTTCTAGTGCTCTTTGAGTCCTGGGTGTTTCAGTAGTTCTGCGTACCACAACCACATGTCAATGCTGAAGTCTGGCTAAAATCGGTTTAGTTACAATTACGAATCTAGATCCTCATCTCAGAGGAGGAGGGTGCCAAGTGGCAGTATAAGTAAAAAGAAAGTGCAAATTAAGGAGAAAAAAAAAACAAAAAGCAAGACCAGATGCATAATAGATACGTAACATTGCTCCCAAGCCTGCACCAGCCTTGTTGATTTAATACCCCAAGGCATATTTAATCTGGTCAGGGACATACAATTCTAAATTCTCAAGATTTGGCTTGCTGGGTGAGCCTATCAGAATAAACGAAAGGCATGAAAATTTCTCAGTTGTTAAGCTTTTGGTTTCTCTCTGAAGAAGCCTTCCTGCTGAGGTGAGATAAAACATCTGGATGATTTCCAGACTTCCATCCTGTCTGAAGCAGGATTTGAATTCATGGGTATGCAGTTTTAGAAATGCGTTTTCTGATCAGTGTTAAACATGTGGGTGGGTTTGGGCACTGGACGGTAATTCTCCTGCTTCTTCCTGTAAGAGGATAGAAGGGAAGATTGGCAAGATCTCACTAGGACCTTCCCCCAAAGAGGTACAAGTTTCCTAGTTGTTGCTTTATGAGGTCTCTTTCTCTCTGGCAACTCTGCAAGAATTGGGGAAGGTCATCAACAGATCTTGAAGAATTTCAGCTTGCAAAATCTTCCAGATGTACTGCCTGCTCTGGCTGGCATATCCCATGCTTGATTCCCTTCTCAGGAAGACCCTGGAAGAATAGCTGTAAGGCTAGGATTCCTCTGATCGAATTAGATGTCTGCAATGCAGACTTCTACATTGGAAGTAGTCCCTAACGCACATCCTTTGCAGTCTGTGTAGGTCAACCCAGTAATGGAGACCAGGGTGTGATTTACCTCATCCTAAAGGATGCATCTCACATATGTCAGATGAGTCACTCCCTACATGTTCAAACATTGAAAATCGGAAAAGAACACCCTTTTTTTTTTTAGAGGTGCAGTCTCCATTCAGTGAACCTCCTTTGCTACTGCAATAGTTACAAGACAGCTCTAGGGGTAGAAACTTGAAGAAGTTCAATCCTGTTTTTGCTTAAGGTCTCCAAGTAATTACTAAGCCTTGATTTAAGCCATCTAAATGCAGACAGCCAGTTGAAGTACCCTCATTAGACATGTAATTGTTATAGGTTTCCTGCATAGCCACTGGAAAGAGGGTCTTCGAAGGTTAATTCAGATCTCTTGTGGGCTAAAGTGCCTTCAAGAAAAGTCTGTCTTACTGCTAAAGCAGTTTGATTTTCAGTTTACATACTGCCTAAAGGTAGATGGACTGAGAGACGTTGCAGTGTGTTAAAAACGTGATCTTTTCTGTCTGTGTGAGTTTTTCTTCATTTAGTCACAGGAAGGAAGGCTTGGTGAAGGGTCCAAGAGAGAGCTACAGGGCTTGTTTTCACATTATTCTTGCCTTTCATCACCTAACTCTCTGTCCACATCTGGGTTTTAGACACACCTGAGTAAGACGTATGCAATGCAACCAGAAACTGTGCAAAACTTCTCTGGTAGTGCTCTTCATTTCAACCTGAATGTGTATTCTGGTGCATCAGAAAGGTTCTGACTTTTCCTGTCAGGACAAGGTTCGTTCAAAAATCATGGTTCCAATCCATACAAGTGAGGTAAGCCACAGTATTTTGTGTTGAGATTATTTTTCTAATTTGGAGCTCTTGTAGCCCAAGCAAGGACCTCACTTTTATACTGGGCATCTGATCTGTTCTGGAATATGACTGATGCAAATGTGTTGTCCTATATCCATCACAGCCTTTAATGGCCACTAATGAACAAACTTCCCAAGGCACATCCCTTATAATGCCAATTTTGTAGAAGTAATATCATGTAATTTTTCCTGTTGTTTCTTAAAGAAAGGAATGTCTGTCATTCATGGCATCCCTGCAGTCTCCACCAATTCATGGTATCTGCTAAAGCCGCAGAACAGGATTATAGACATGGAAAGCAGCAAGGAAAAGACAGCTCATGTACTGCTGAAACCTATTGAAGGTGTCTGTAGTACTGAGCATTTCACAGGTTCTCCTGTCCCTGAGATTAAGCCCATAGCTTCTACTCAGCAGATCCTGAAGTCAGGGCAAGTTGAACTTTTTGCTGTTGTTTCAGTTTGTGAAACACTGTGCGTCATGATCATTTTGTTTGGGTTTATATGTGCACCATAAACAGACAGTGAAGGACTCCAGTGGGGAATTTACAAAGGATGAAATTCCCTCACTATCATCTTGCTTGGAGCACTGCCAAAGCCACTATGGCCATCACTGAGATCTTTAGCAGAGTTAGCTTGAGATTAGTATGATGGCTTGTTAAAGTGAGACATGAATTTCAGTCATAAAACCTAGGACAATAGCTCTACACATGTCATAACAGATCAAAGACAGAAAACAGTTTAATTCCTCTGGTCTGGCATGTTACCATCTGTCAGCTAAGTCATAGTAACTGATAGCATCTTGTCCATAGCAAGGGTGAAATGAAATGCACCAATATCCCCTCTGAGTGGGTTGGAGCACACTTCTGAGTTCAGGCCTGAAGAAGAAGAGTTTTTTAGGGCAAAGACTAAGTAAAGCAAGCCATGTCCTGCAGGGATTTTGGCATCCAGGCCAAAAATGACGTTTTTCTGATTTACCAAAATGTAAGATGTGAGTGGGCTGTATTAGATTGGGATACTACTTAAGGGTCTTACTGCTTGCTTTAGATACTGAGAGAGAGGGAACCATTGTAATAACAAGGCATTAACTAGAAGTGGGTTGACTGCTGAAATTTGCAGGGGAAAACACTTGGAAGCGGTATAACCCTCCCTGATGTAAGTGGGGATCTTCCTCTGAGATAGGCTCTTGTTTTCCATTGCAGCTTTCTTTTTTTCTCAGCCAATATTGAGTGCAGGGGTATAGATCCCAGAGATGACTGAAAAATAGTTGTTCACCTCTCCGTGAAGAATTCTGCTAGGAACAAACTACAACATTAATATCAGGATTTGCCACAGAAAAATATAATTTCTGATGAAAAATTGAACCCGGGAATATTTTAAATGAACTAGAAATATTTGTTGTTGGAAAAGTTGCTATCCTTCATGGGGACACTAATTTGCATATCTCAAATACATAACCTTTCATGGTCAGTCAAGTCCTTGACAGTGGCGCTCTGTCAGAGCTCTTATCTGGTGGAGAAGTTCAGACCTCAAAGAAAGGATATGACTCGCAGCTCCTTGAGAAGATGGTATCTGATTTGGGGTTATGTGGAGATTTTGTTACTTCATGTATTTTGGATGAGAATGGAAAATTTCCATGGAAAGAGGGATTTTTTTCATACCTGAACATGCACATATTTAGCAGTATTTTTAAGTTGGTTTAGATGCCATCTTTGCAACCAGCCCTGCTACTAGCTTTGACCGTCTCTCTAGGCCTGAGCTCAGACCCACTAAGGTCAAGGGGAAAGCTCAATTTACTTTACTTACTGGATTTTAGGCCACAGTCCCTACCAGTGGTTTAAGATGCATTGAGTTAGTTGTTCCCTATATTGCTCTACCCCGTGAGATCAAGAGTCACATTTCTCTTGAGTTTTGATTTGTACTTACATTGTCTTGAGCTGTCCTAACTTACGGTTTGCACTGTGTACAGTGCAGTAGAGCTTGAGGTCATGGGCCATGCCTGATACTTTTCAGCACACTGTTAATATGAGTAATAATGATAATTGTAACTGTTATATGACTGTTGGCCTTGTCAATGAGAACCATTGTCAATGACCAACTGCTTCTCATTCACTGGCCAGTAACTGTTTCCAATTATTTTGTGTTCTGCGTTGTGTAGCCCTGGTGCAGATTACGGCTGGCATATGCCAGAAGGAAAGAAGGTTTTCACTCCTTCTCCCCTCTACGTTTACAGCACTGTGACAAGTCCAAAACAGAGGCTCTGGAGGATGATGAGATAGAGGAATTTTACAAGATACTGACAGAGAGGAAAGAAATAGACAAGATATTCCAAAAGTACTCAGATGCAGAAGGGTTTATGTCCTGCCAGAACCTGGTGAGGTTCCTCTATGAGACACAGCAAGAAGAAGATGCTGTTGTTGCTGCTCCTGCCTTAATTCAGAGATACGAGCCTAATGAAAGAGGTAGGTTGGAAACCATATCTGGTTTGGTTCAAAATCTTGCTTTTGTGATGAACTATGAATTGTTTTGCTGCTGTTTTCCTCTGCAGCCATGTGTGTCATTTTCTTCTCACAGCTGCTTCTAAAACACCAGTCTTCTAGAGGAACATTAGCAACTGTAAGAGAGGAGGGCACAAAAGAGCCTGGGAAATACTTGTCTTCGATTTTGACTTGGGTACACTGAGCTTCTGGAGAGGGGTTGATATAGAGTTGGGTAGGAGGTGATGAAATTCCTGAGGGAAAGGGTCTGATGGTTTATTCAAATGCCAAGACCTCTTGTGGCTTTGCAAGGTTAAGAATATAGCAGTATTTCTGTTCTCAAGAGGCAGGAATGGAGGCAGATGTTTTTGAATGTGGACACCTGAAAAGCTATCGGGTGATATCTGAGTAAAGGGCCCAGAAGGTGACAGCTGTTTAGGAGAGCAATCACAGAAATGTCTTCTGATCAGAAATTAAGTGAGTCCCCAGTCTGGAGTACCTTGGAGGACATGTTCAAGAAATTAACACCGGATCATAGGTTTTGCACTGTCTGGGTATACCTTCAGGAGAAGCACAGTGCTTTGTGGATGTCAGACTTGGGGATTAGACTGAGATCTAGCTCAGACCTTCAAGATGGGAAGAGCTCAATTTCTCCACAAAGTTGGGTAATTTTGCATTTACTCTTTGCAAATCATGTATTCATCAGATAATCTAGACACGATTTATCTGGCTATGTTTAGGCATCTGACAACTTTTCTTTATTGGCATGGAGGAAGCTTGAAGTGCTCAAACAGAGATTTTTATACTATAGTTCTCTAGAGAGGTGAGGTAAGGGCTGGTTTTGACACTTTTAAGGTGTTATCAAGGACAGTAAATGTCATGAAAAGCCATGCTTGTAAAGGAGTTTTAAAAGAGTGTTCAGGCAGACGAAGCTGTCATCAGTGTCTGAACAGCATCAATATCTTTACTCTTAGCTGAATGCCTAGGGAGCACATTTTGCCTTTGTGATTCTCTGGAGAGCAGTAGGCATCGTGGTGAGGATGGCGGCACCATTGGGTGATATCGGATTTTCAGTAGGGTTTTCTGTCTATTTATCTGGCAGCCAAGAGGGGTAACGCCATGACCAAAGATGGTTTTCTGATGTACCTGCTGTCCGATGATGGGAATATATTCAACTCCTCCCACCGTAAAGTTTACCAGGACATGACTCAACCTCTCAGTCACTACTTGGTGTCATCCTCGCACAATACCTATCTCATGGAAGACCAGCTCACAGGTCCAAGCAGCACAGAAGCCTATATCAGGTAAAGATTGTGTATTTGTGTGTATGTATTTGTGTGTCTGAATAGTTGATCCCTCTCTCGTAGAAGACATAGGGTGCATCTATATTGTAAGGTACAAGAGGACTGAGAAGCTATCACCCACCCTGAGACCAGGTAATGTGGGTTGTCCCATGTTCACATCACGGTAAGCTGTTTCTAAGCCCGGTTGTCTATGCGCTGGTTTTCAAAGCACTTTGACGAGGGTCTCTGCTGGGCCCCATGTGGTGTACACCTGGCTGTTAGATGTATAATTACTACATTTAGGTGTAGTTTAAAATGTCTACAATCATGTGGGAACCACCTTGCATTGCTTCTGCTATGTCTTGTATTTTTATCAAGTGAGACAGTGTTTCCTTGTAAGCAAACCAATGACTTCAGTTCTGACTTTAGTGCTTCTCTGATTCTCAGGGAACAATGGCTGTCTAGAATCACAAGCTCAAAAGAGAAGGGAGTGAAATATGTCACAAGTTGCCTTTCAGTAGCTGCTTGAATTCCTCTTACAGGATCTTAAAATTACAAAATTATATTTTGCTTGAAAAGAAACCCCGAGAAACCCCATGATTCTGGCACAGGTTGCCCAGAGAAGCTGTGGCTGCCCCATCCCTGGCAGCGTCCCAGGCCAGGCTGGACAGGGCTTTGAGCAACCTGGTCTACTGGAAGATGTCCCTGCCTGTGGCAGGGGCTTGGAACTGGAGGAGCTTTGAGGTCTACAACAACCCAAATTGTTCTGTGATTCTTACTGCAATAAGTTAAAAGGAGTTGTGTTAACTGAAACTTGTAGGGAGTAACTGTAAAAAAGACAGGATCATCTCTTAGACAGGTAAGTCTGTACAAGGGGAACCTACACTGGAAAGTAAATTAAAATGAAAATACGGATATATAGAGGCAAGAGTTTCAAGTAGAAATTCAGTCTGTAGACTCAGTTTGGGAAATTGGCCCTCAGCAGTTTCCCCAGCTGTGGCAGAGTTCACACAGCTCCCTCCCTGACAGCTCCGAGGATTCATCTCTCATGTCTTATTAGACCTAGATGAAGAAGTCACATCATCCAGGCTTCTTGACTGGCTTCTAAGGCTGAATGTCTTACTGTCTTTCTTCCAATGCAGCACTCTTGATTTTCTTCTCTTCACAATCTTTGGGAAAAGTTTTGGGGCACAGTTATGACTGGCCTTTCTCATCTGGCACTCACTATGTCTTCTTTGGATAATTCTTACCTTGGACTTACATTACCTCCTCTCTCAGATCCCACTACGCTTTCCTTGCTCAACCTTGAGCTCTCTTTGCTGACTCTGAGCTCTCCTGGTCCCATCCTTTTGCCATCTGTTTTCCTGTTTTTCCAAGCTCCTCTTTTCTTCCTTCCTTCCTAAAATTCCTGTCAGCCTTCCCAGGCAATACCCGTGCCTGATGCACCCTCATGAGATGGAGCAAAAGGTTTAGAACCCAACCAGATCCCTTCTTTGTTTCCAGAGCCCTCACTAAAGGCTGCCGCTGTGTGGAACTGGATTGCTGGGATGGCCCTAACTCAGAGCCTGTCATTTATCATGGCTACACTCTCACCTCCAAGATCCTCTTCAGCGATGTCATTAAGGCCATCAAGAACTATGCTTTCAAAGTAAGGATGAGGCACCACCTAAGATTTCTCATATTGCACAGTCCAAGACTGGTAGCGGGTCTCTGCCCTCCCAACAGAGAATATAAGCCATGAAGACTTTACCTTAGCTTTTCTCATGGGTACGAGATGTGTCCTTCTGAGTGGGCATTCATCTGCTTTCTGCAGAGGTCCATTTTGGGGAGTTGCAGAGCACTATATCCAAGGACGAGTTTGAATCTATACCAGCACAGCTGCATCCTGGACCTCAGTGCACCAAAAATAATGCCCAATATCTTGAGCATCCTTGGTGGGAAGTGCAAACAAGCCCATGACTTGTGTAGTTTTGGTGTCTCAGGGCCTGCTGTTAGTTTAGAGGAACCCATGTGCATGTGTTTTGGAGGGACTGATGCGAAAGTCTGCTTCTATTCTGTTTTAAAAGGAATGAGCAAGTCTGGAATCTTGTATGGCAGTTCTGGGCCAGCAGCCTTTAAAAATACCGTGGGTCTGTCCAGACTCACTGGGCTTTCTGCTATTTTCCTTGAGTGCACTCGTTACTAGTATCAGTTTTCCTTTGGGGCTATAAAGCAGTGACAATGCCAATAACTTCAGCACACAAAATGACCAGGAGGGACCACAGGGAACCAGGTCAGGCCTATTCACAAATGGAAGGAGGATTCATGTCACCTAAGGATTTGAGAAACCCCAGTGATTTCAAACCCTCCCTTCCCAGTCCTTCCTCTGAGGTAGGAAGGTGCTCAGACCCACAGTGCAAGTGGAGAATGGAGGCACAGGGAGCCTCATTAAACTGCCCCAGCAAGTCTGTGGGAGGCATCCTGACCCAGCCTGGTGCCCTGTCATTGGGTCATCATCTCCAGAAGCTACCAGCAGTAGCTACTGCACAGGTTGTCCATTTTTGACAAATGCTCATTTTAATAGAATGATAGACCTTACAGTTGTCCCACTCACTTGCAGAGAAAACAGCACTGGGGTTTATATCAGTTGCTGTAGACTGGTGAAATTGCAGAGTTCACTGATGATGTAATTTGCTATCTTACTGTAGACCTCACCATACCCTGTCATCATCTCCCTGGAGAACCACTGCAGTGTCGACCAGCAGAAGGTGATGGCTCAGCACATGACGACAATTCTGCAGGACATGCTCTTGGTTGCCCCAGTAGATGGAAACAAATCCCAGTTCCCCTCCCCAGAGGTAAACAAGGATACTCTAGCACTTTCTGCTTTCTGAGGGTGGAAGAGGCCTGTCTTCTTGCTAGGTGCCAGGTAGTGGGCAATATACCTGAGGACTGGTGGGAACTGCATTTGCTGAGGAACAGAGATTGTCTGTGGGCAACTGTGGAATAAGGAATATCTAGAAGTAGCCTGTGCACATCAACCACAAAATGCCTGGTTGCTCTTTGTTTATTGTCTAAGGTCTCAGAGGAGATATTCCTGCAGCACTGAGGACATTCCTGGTTCCTTTACCAAGAATGTGCTTCATCCCATGAGGAGGTTGCTTTTCTGGCATTTCCCAGAGGAGCTGAATCCTGAGAGTCTGTCTTGTGTCTTCTCCCCACAACCCAAAGCTGAATATGACCTTCTTCAGGCTAATCCTCTGAAGCACTGTTAGGTTGCTGCATGTACAGAGAACATTAGCACCACAAGGAGTGACTACAAGGTGTCTCTGTGGTTTTAATCCAGCAAGACTGGATACTACCCATACAGGTAGCCTAAATCTATATAGCATGAAGTGTTCTCCCACTTAGAATGGCCTGGTGGGGTGGTGGGGATGAAGATGTCCATGGAGAACAAGGGGAGGCAGAAGGCTGCATAGAGATGCCCCTTTGATTCCCATGAATCAGGGCAGCCACGAAGCTGGGAGCTGAGCTTGGACGCTGCACGCAAAGAAGGTATACAGCCCTTAACAGTGGACCACCACTATGAAGTCTTTAGCTGACTATTAGAAAAATGTTGGAAATGGAATGTTGATGTGAAAAAAAAGTTTCCAAAACAGAAGCCAAAATGAAATGTTAATCTCTTCACCCTTTGGGTTTGTGTTTTCTTTCTCTCTTAAGCACTTTGGAGAAAGGGGTTTCTGTGTGGATAGCTGAAGTTCCTTTTAAATTGGATTTCTTTGCTAAAGAAATCATTTGCCAAAAATTGGTTGAGCATGCCTAGCCAGAGCTGGAAGGAGTTTGTGGGTGGGATAAAGCCGGCAGTCATCAGGGGAGAAGAGAGGAAAATGATCCACCCAAAATATCTTCTGTATTTGTTCATCCTCTCTCTCCCTGATTCTCTTTTCCCTTTTGTTTGGGATTGTCATGCGTCGCTTGATACAATGCCTAGCACACAGGGAAGCTGATCTGGGTTGGTCCCTGGGCACCAGTACAATAAATTAGGATGAATCATAACTTTAGTGCTGCTGCTTCAGCAAGACCTTTGCACTGACACAGACAAGGTGACTACATTTAAGAAGTGACTCTCCCAGGGTGAGAATACACCCAGCATGGAGGCAGGTCTCTGCAGGCTGTTAGCAAGTTGGAAAAATCAGTCTTCAGTGTCACCACCTGGATTATTATTTATCCTTAGTGCAGGATCAGGAAGGCTGCTGGTGGCTTTTCAGAACACTACCTTGTGACCAGGGGAATGAAACAAAGCAAGGAGAAACACCATGGAAAGAAATGTGTGATGTGTGAACCCCAGCTTCCCAAAGATGTTTTTCCCATTCCTGCGCTTGTCTCCTCTCCTGCCAAGATGGACATGTGGCCCCAGCTTGAACAAAACAGCCCAGATCTACCTTAGTGAATGGTTTGGGCTTATATGCTCCATTGGAGGGACTGATCTCTTTAGTTTAAAGGGAGAAAAATTGCCAACACAACAAAACCTGTCCTTTTCCTTCTGCTACTTTTCTTCTGCCTTCCTGCTGTGTGAACTAGGAGAGTGCAAAGAGCTGAATTGCTGCTTTTTTTGGTGAAAAATACATTGAAGCTGAAACATTAAGGGGAAAAAAAAAAGCCAAACTAGAAGCCTCTTGGATTTTCCACTTCCTTGTGAAGCTGACATGGGGAAGCCTGGGACAATGTAGTATTTTTTATATTAAAAAAAAGTTGGGCTCTGTCTGAGGCTGAAAGGCTGTAAATAAAAACAGGCAAAGCATTGCTTGCCACAGATTGTGTTATCAAGGCAGTGTCAGTAGTTACAGGAAGATCGACACAGTTTGGATTCATGCTAACGATTCATGCCACAGCCCAGGGCACCACATTATTGGGCTCCAGTCAGGAACAGTGTTGGGCTACACAAAGCATCTAAATATCTCCCTCAAGCTGCTGTCTTTAGATCCCAGTAGTAAATTAAAGGCTTGTAGGATGAACTGCTAAAAGCCACATGAAAGCTCCAGGCAGTGTCAGGGAAGAACTGATCCATCTCTGCTGCCGATTGCTTGGTGCAGGTCTTTCTACCCTATCCCTGATCTGGAGATTACAGGGCTCTGACAGGGCTAATTCCACCTGTCCCTGCATTCTAGCTAGAAATGCTGCAAAGACCAGCCCTGGAACAAGACTAAAACAGTTTCTGACATTGCATGCAACTATTCAGCATATCAGGCATATCTGGAAAGTCCTACAGATTTTTGTTCCTAGGCTTCCTTGTTTACAACAGTGGCTTTGGGTTTAACAGACCTGCCTTGGTAGGTGACCCTTAGGGATATGAGCCTGCGTAGTTGGGAGTGCGGTGGCAGGAGCCTCTGCCACCCCTTAACTCCACTGTCCCACCAGCTCTCCCATCCATTGCTGTGTCCAGTGTCCCCATTCAACATCACTTTGAGCCATGCAGCCCAGAAACCAATTCCAGTATAGCAGTGGTAATGCAGGGATCAGCACAATGGAGCACTGATGAGCTGAGTTGTCTTTTGCCTCAGGCTAGAAGCAATATCACATGTAGGGGAACCAAGAGAGATAGAACAAGTGCATATGTGTGTTTGTGTCTGCCTGCACCAGCTTATTTAAAATCTTGTTAGAGAAGACAAGCACTCAAATTTATGACTGCTTCCTAGCACTCATATTAAATGAAAGAAGACTGGGACTGGCAGCTTCTGCAGGGTGAATTCAGTGCAATGCAACTATAGAATAGCAGGAAATGGAAATGAAAATATTTTATTTTGAAGTGAATTTCACCCCTCATTGTATACCAATAAGCTAATGCATCTCTTCTGGAGTTAGGTGGCACATGGACTGCTCTGCTTTGTAGGCTTGGTAGAAGTTATCTGCACAGGGGATACTAAACCTCTGCAGCACTGAGGATCCACTGCTGGGAGCCCTGGTATGGGGTGTGATGAGGAGACAAGCTGGAGGCTGTGTTGCTGTGCCTTCACTGCTGATGTATTCAGCCATGTAGGATGGTCTGTGCTGGAAATTACACCTCCCACTTGATGGGTATGCTGTGGAGAAGCTGGGGAGAACATGGAGAAGCTTACAAGAGGGTAGTATCCCTTCTGGTAATTAAGAATCAAGCAATCTGCCGCAAATACCTTGTCTCTAGTTCTTTACTCTTGAGCTGTGAGATAAGGCAGTAGCACTTATTATGGGATGCTAGAAAGCAGAGGCAGATAATGTATTACATAGCAGGATGATATCTGCAGCCTATGAAGGACAAGGTCCCCCGTGCAATCCCTCTGGTCTTGTCCATTTGGATTGTTGACTGGAGCCTCAAAACTCACACAGAACTGGATTTCACCTTCTTCCAGTAGGTGTTGTAGAAGAACAGTGAAGAGCTGGATGTTGAGGCAGGAGGGTGGGAAGAGACATGAACAGCAGACTGACCTGAGACTCTAAAGATGAGCCGACTCATTTCCCAGCCACGGATGTGAAGAGCTGTGAGTGTCACAGCTCTGCCTGGAAGAGAGCTGGGAGGATGGAGGATTGTCTGGGGATGGGCAGAAGGATACTGCTATGCTCTGAATGCTCCTTTGGGCCTTTTATTCCCAGTAACTAACTGGTGCATTCCTTCCAGCTGCCTTTGTGTAGCTTTTGAGTGACAGGGAAAGCACCCCAGCGTAAGCAGGTCATTTGTGCTAGCTGAATTAAAATGCTCTTGGCTGATTCCTCAGGTACCAGTTTCAAATTTCAGCTTGCACCAAGCTTTATCCAGAGCTTTGGGGTGGTGAGGAGTTGGGCTGGTCTGTGTGATGTGATGTGATGCAATTTGCTTGCCCCCACAAAGGGGGAATTGTGTTCTTTGAAAATGCCTGTGCTGCTTTATAAAAGGTTCTTGGTTTTCCACAGCCCTGTCATTTGAGAATGATGGGGTTTGTTGCTTTTGCTGTTGTGGAAAGTGCAAGTAGAGGGTGTTGCAGAGAAAAGTGGAACATGCTACACAGACCGAGGGCTATATTTGCTAATTCCGAGATTGCTTCTTTCTGGAGTACTAGCACCCTTCAAAGCCAGGACTACTGAACACATCCAGGTGGCGACAAGTCTCTCACTTGACCTCACTGGAGGCTGCAGGGTTGAGGTGTGTGCCTGATTTTAATGCATAATCCTGTCACTTAGAGATTGCACCCAGACAGTCACCATTCTCTCAGCACTCCTCCCTGCTGCCAACATCACTGCTGCATCATTTGGGTTCAGTCAGCCCTCTCCAGGCTTCAGCCTTCCACAGTTAGGTCTTGCACAAGAGATACATCTCTGGTATGGTGGTCTGTGAGCAACCGTGCACGGCTGGTGTGTTTCTACACCTGAGGATTTTTTGTGGACTTTGAAAGAGGCTGGTGAGAATTGAATCAGCACAACAAATATGCTCCTTGGATTGGCTCAGCAGCCAGCTGTGTTATGTTGGCCCATGCTGCTGCTTATGATTAGTGCTGTACCATGGTAGCAGTCACAGGAGAAGCGCTTTTCAGAAAAGGAGGTATCTTTGGAAAGGGTCTGGAAACTCTTCCTTAGGCTGTCAGCACCTTAGGGTGCTGACAAGATCCTTTACATATTAAAATCCCATGTCCGCTTGGCAGAATACCTCTCCCCCCATTAAAATACCTAGTGGAGCAGAGGGCTGCACTGCTTCAGTCCCTGTGTGGCTGTCATCATTTCCAAGTTGTGCATATGTTTATAACCATACATTGCAGAGGCTGGGGTAGATTAAAATTCAGGGCCACACAGAGGGGCAGAACAGTGCCATGAATAGCTCCCATGAGCCCTGACCTCCAGGCTTGGCCTTGTTTGCTGAGCCACATTCAGTTTTGAAAATAGTATATTTTTACTGCCTCTAAACAGCACAACAATTTTAGTTTTCTAGTTGAGGGGAGGGTCATCTCTGTATCAGGAGGGAATCAGTGGGCTATCTGGCGTCTTCAAACTCATGGCTTGTGGTCTCAGAGGCTGGCCAGAGGCAAGGCAAGAACTCTGGAAATAGAGACTTATATTTACCTGTGTAACCACCAGTGACTGATGCAACTCCAGAAAGCCCTGGAGTTGCAGCTGAGGAGCTGTTATACCCTTGCTCCTTCAGGGTGAGCTAGAACCTTTTCTAATCACCAGCTATTTTGTACACTTTTCCTTGTGCAGCAGTTAAAAGGGAAGATCCTTGTGAAAGGCAAGAAGCTGAGTAGACACGAGGACCCTGCTGGAACAAATGGGAACAACAACCTGGAGGCAGAGGATGTCTCTGATGAAGATGAAGCAGCTGAAATAGAAGATGAATCTGTAAAGACTGAGATACAGCAGAAGGGGAAGGTAAGTAAAAGAATTAACTGAGTCCTGAAAAGGGGCAGACCTGGAAAGACAGAAAAGCTACGAACAAGATCTTTGCCAATTGCAATGGCTCTGAAACTCTGCATCAGGAAATCCTGTTTTGTTAGCCTGTCCCGTGACTCATGCTGGGAAACAACTTTATAGGTGGATTTTGTACCATGCCTAAAACAAAACAAAAACTCACCCAAAAACCAAACAAAACAAAACAATTGAAATAGACTTTTAATATGTCCCCTGCTAAGACAGTTTTCAGTGTGGTTTTGACCACTCAGCTGGGGATATGAAAGGGTAAATTGTTGAAACAGCTGGAGCTAAGAATCCTGGTCCTTGCTCACCTTAATGATCTCTGTCCCAAGAACAAGCAGAGATCTTGCAGAGCCAGCCAAGCATGAAGGTTGGCTTCTTTCCTTAAAATGTGGCTGGAGGACCTGGCAGCTGGGACGGCCCATGTAGCATTTCTGGAAGCAGTGGAAGGGCACATATTCAGTCTGTCTGATTTCCAGAAATCTATTTGTCGTGGGAGCATTATGACTTTGTTTGTTATCAGAGACTAGTGCTTTTCTAGCCACATTTTGAGACATAGCTGCACCCTCACAGGCCATATGTTTCTGAACAGGAGGAAGGAGGGATAGGGAGAGCTATGGATCTATGGGGAAGGGTGGTCTGTTTCCAAAGAAATTGGAATTACCATTTTGGGAAGAAAATTCTGGCCTTTACACCAGTATTTTACTCCCTCATGTGTGGACACTCATTTTTTCAGACTGTAGGTCACTCAACCAGGTTCATAGGAGATGTAAATACATTCAATCCCACAGACAGCAAAGCTGATTGACACTGCCTCTGGATCTGGTCTGATCTATGCTTTCCTTTGCTGATTTGCTCACTCTTTGAGGATCTTACTTCTTTCCCTGAACTGTAGTTGACAATGTGTGTAATTTTGACGTCTGTCATTTTTTTTTCTGGCCTCTAATGGGAGCTGGTGGCTAACGCTTCACTCTTGCACCAATGAATGTGGCTGTGGAGTAGGAGGCATCAAAGCATTGTAAGGGATTCCTAGTTCAAGGGAGAAAAAGCCCAAGCTCTGTGGAGGCAAAAACGTCCTTCACTTTCCCTTATTTCCAGGCTTGCATGCTTGGGACCAGGACCGTAGGGAAAACTCATTGCTAAGACTCTATTGTAAAGTTTAACAAGTGGAGACGGCCATTGATGCTGAAATACAAGTGGTCACGCAGAGAGCAGCAGAAAGGGTATCCCACCACCAAGGAGAGAATCCAGATGGAGAGCATCATGCAACAAAGGTGCTAGAACAGCAAAGCATCTGTTGTGTGAAATCCTCTCTTAGCTCTCCACTACAGACTAATTGGGTTGGTTGCTACTGTGTTTGTGGCCCTAATCACTTGTGAGTTGTGATAGTCAAGCTGAAATTCATTATATAATTCATTAATTCATTCATATAATAATACGCAAATAAATGCAGAAGGAAGCATGGCCCAGGTGAAATATTCTTGGTAGTCACACTTGGGAAGTAAAGACACTTGGACAGGCCAAGATGGGCCTGAGAGGAAGTGATACTCTGAGAGGCAGGATTAGAGCTCCATGCAGGGCAAGGCATATGGCAAGGGCAGCCTGCCCCTTTTCCACCCTCTTTTTGCATAGGGGTGCACTGAATATTGATAGTATGTACCCTTTTCACATGAAGATGGTGGAGAAGAGAAGCCTCAGGCATCCTAGACAAAACATGATTATTATTTTTGAGTATGACTGCAGAAACTCTTGCTCTCCTGCTTTTAGAGTGACACCTTGAAGCTGGCCAAGGAACTGTCAGATACAGTTGTCTACTGCAAGAGTGTCCATTTCAATGGCTTTGAGGACCCCAGCCATCCTCGGGCTTTCTATGAGATGTCATCGTTCACGGAGAGCAAAGCTCTGAAATTAGCCCAGGAGTCTGGTATGTATGTTCTGCCCTGGCAAAAGGCCATCCTCTGTCCCAGTCCCCCATAAAGGAACAGTGGTTAAGCACAAGGAAGAGCAAACCTGAAAGACAAGGGTTATGATCTCTTTGGTTATGCATGCCACTGAGAAAGTGGGAATAACTTAATATCATAGAGGCTGTTACCAAGAAGAGCATTTTATACAGGTAGTTCACATTTGGCTAAACTCACTAGGCAGAGGAGCAGTATATATAAAGCAGCAACAATTTAGCTGGTGAATGAAGTTGCTAAGCCACTGTCCATCGTATTTGAAAAATCATGGCAGTCAGGTGAAGTTCCCAACGACTGGAAAAAGGGAAATATAACCCTCATTTTCAAGAAGGGGAAAATGGGTGACCTGGGGAATTACAGACCAGTCAGTCTCACCTTTGTGCCTGACAAAATCTTGGAGCAGATTCTCCTGGAGGGCATGCTAAGGCACATGAAAAACAACAAGGTGCTTGGTGACAGCCAGCATGGCTTCACTAAGGGGAAATCCTGCCTGACCAATTTGGTGGCCTTCTATGATGGGGCTACAGAACTGATGGACAGGGGTAGAGCAGTTGATGTCATCTCCCTGGACTTGTGTAAAGCATTCGACACTGTCCCACACGACATCCTTGTCTCTAAATTGGAGAGACATCAATTTGATGGATGGACCACTCGGTGGATAAAGAACTGGCTGGATGGCCATACACAAAGAGTTGTGGTCAATGGCTCAATGTCCGGCTGGAGACCAGTAACGAGTGGTGTCCCTCAGGGATCGGTGTTGGGACCGGTCTTGTTCAACATCTTCGTCACTGACATGGACAGTGGGATTGAGTGCGCCCTCAGCAAGTTTGCTGATGACACCAAGCTGTGTGGTTCAGTTGATGCGCTGGAGGGAAGGAATGTCATCCAGAGGGACCTTGACACACTTGTGAGGTGGGCTGATGCCAACCTCATGAAGTTTAACCATGCCAAGTGCAAGGTCCTACACCTGGGTTGGAGCAATCCCAGGCACAGCTACAGGTTGGGCAGAGAAGAGATTCAGAGCAGCCCTGCGGAGAAGGACTGGGGGTTGTTGGTTGATGAGAAGATAAACATGAGCCAGCTTCAGTGTGAGCTCACAGCCCAGAAAGCCAACTGTGTCCTGGGCTGCATCAAAAGGAGCGTGAGCAGCAGGTTGAAGGAGGTGATCCTGCCCCTCTACTCTGCTCTTATGAGAGCTCACCTGGAGTATTGTGTGCAGTTCTGGTGTCCTCAACATAAAAAGGACATGGAACTGTTGGAACAAGTCCAGAGGAGGGCCACGAGGATGATCAGGGGACTGGAGCACCTCCTGTATGAAGACAGGCTGAAAAAGTTGGGGCTGTTCAGCCTGGAGAAGAGAAGGCTGCATGGAGACCTCATAGCAGCCTTCCAGTATCTGAATGGGGCCTATAGGGATGCTGGGGATGGACTCTTCATTAGGGACTGTAGCGACAGGACAAGGGGTAATGGGTTAAAACTTAAACAGGGGCAGTTTAGATTGGATATAAGGAAGAAGTTCATGCTGTAAGGGTGATGAGGCACTGGAATGGGTTGCCCAGGGAAGCTGTGAATGCTCCATCCTTGGCGGTATTCAAGGCCAGGTTGGGCAGAGCCTTGGGTGAGATGGTTAAGTGCGAGGTGTCCCAGCCCATGGCAGGGGGGGTGGAACTAGATGATCTTAAGGTCCCTTCCAACCCTAACTATTCTATGATTCTATAACAAGAGGAGACAAAATTAGCTGCCTTCACTAAAAGAGCCATTTTCTTCTATTTTTTCCGTAGCAACCAGTTTTATTCATCACAATGTCAGGCACCTGAGCCGGATCTACCCTGCAGGCTGGAGGACAGATTCTTCCAACTACAACCCCATTGACTTGTGGAACGTCGGCTGCCAGATCGGTGGGTGCAAGTGGGATGCCAGAGAGGGTCACCCAGGCTGGCTCACCCATGGCCTGGCTATGGAGGGGCTTCAATTGATGTAGAAGTGTGATCTCAAGCCCTTTGCAGGCAGAGAGGCTCAGTGGTCACTGGGAGAGGTCAGCCCTTCAGCCAATGCTCAATGACTTTTCATAGACCATTTTCTGGCCCCCCTCAAAACTGTTAGGAGAGCCTTTTCTGTATATCTGTTTTGGTCACAGCTTCTGTACTTCTACACAAAGAGTTCAAACATGAAGAACTCTGTGGTCTAACCAACAGAGGCATCAATGTCCCTCAGGATGGCAAATGAAAATAAGCATATCTGGGCTGGAAAGGAGGTTTTATAATGAGGCTAAGTATCCAGAGAAACAATCTGAGAAGGATTTCCTGGCTTCACTGCAGGAGATAACTCCTTTAGCACAGAAATAAATAGGTTTATCTAAAACATGCAGTTGCTCAACCAGGTGACATAAATTCAATATAGGACACTTTTTGATCCTGTTGAAGGCAGGAGGACAAATGAGATGGCTGTAATGGCTCCTCCTGCCTCTAACGTCTCTGCAAGAAGTCCTCTGTGGTAGCAGGCTGTGAGGGTCAGAGTTTATCACTGTTCTTTGAAGTGTGGAAAAGCAAATATTTATGTCCATGAAGTGCAATTTCATATGAACAGAATTAGTATAAAAAGATTACCATTGATTTATCTGAAAGTGACTGTATTTATCTATTTATGTTGCAGTTGCCCTAAATTTCCAGACAGCAGGCACAGAAATGGATGTCTATCAGGGTCGATTCCAGGACAATGGGTTTTCTGGGTACGTCTTAAAGCCGGAATTCCTCCGGGATGAGCAAACCAAATTCAATCCAAAATCCATCACAGAAGGAACATGGGGGACAAAGAAGAAACTTCTGCTTAAAGTAAGAATAGAAGTTGGAAACTGTCTCAGTAGCATCCACCTTCGGGGGGGGGGGGGGGGGGGGGGCATGTAGGTTATACCTTCTCCTTCTGGCCAGCTGTATCCCAGCCCTACTAATTTCCCACTACTGGGTTTCTGCTTCAGTCCTGCATGGGCTTTCATCCTCAGAGACTTACATATTTAATGTTTGGCAATAGGAGAGGTTAATGACAATATTCACTGTCATTACACAAACATAAGGCAGACATGCACTCAACAGTCACCACTCTTGTTTACAAGTATCATCTAACCGCTGTGGGGACAGTTAGAAAATTGCATCTCTTAGCCAGCTGGCTGGGCTGGAGCAGTGTTCCTAAGGTGCTTTGGCTCATGACAACTTCATCTGAAGGATGTCACTCACTCTGAAAGATCAGCAACAGTGTGTTGCAGCAGGTCCTGCACTCCTGGAGAAGGGAGTGGGCCAGGGAGTCCCCTCTCCTAATGATGACCTGACCTCCTCCTCTGTTTCTTCCACAGATCATCTCTGGTCAGCAGCTGCCCAAGGTGAACAAAAGCAAAAACTCCATTGTTGATCCTAAGGTAACGATAGAGATCCACGGTGTCCAACAGGATAACAACAAGAAACAGACCAAGGTCATTGAAAACAATGGTAAGGGGTTTTGTTCCATGCAGTGCTCCCATGGGGCAGTAAACCTTTCATTTTGTGTAGCAAAGTGTTCCTTGCCAAGACTGCTGCCCTGTGGCCAGGCTTGCTCAGGTGCACCCAAGCTTCCCCACACTAGGCAGTGTCACAAACTCACAGAAGATGCTAACTCAAGTTGCTGGGAGCATTGCCCAGGTGAATTTTGAGTATCTCAAAGGATGGAGGTTCCTCAGACTGTCTGGGCTTTCTCAAGTGATCCCGTCTTTGACCGACCTCATGATAAAATAAGATATTCCTATGCTTAAGCAGGAATTTCCCTGTTGCAATTTGTGCTTATTATGCATTAAGCTTTTGCTGTACATCTGTAAAAGCATGGCTCTATCTTCTCTGTAAGGGAGTAGTGGAAGATGGCAATAATAACCTTAGCCTTGAAAACTTGACATCTTCTCTGTACAAAAGGAGAACATTTCTTTTAACTCAGAGCCCCCTCACAAGGCAGGGACGCTGCATCTGCTCATTCTTTTGCCCAAAGTGGCACAAATTAACACACATCACAGCAATATTACAGGTGACGGATGAAAGCCATAAGCTCCCACCTCCAAGGAGCCTGGCTCAAGCCTTACCCACCGCTGACCTCGGAGATCTCACAGACATTGCACTTCCCTGTAGGCCATTTGTCCTCACTCAAACATGGTAGGGATTTCTCTCTGTGCAGTGAATACTGGGGACTTCTGAGTTTGCAGAGGGCAAGTTCAGCTCTCTCCTGGGAGCGCAGCGAGGCAGTAGGGGTCTGAGAAATCAGTCATTACCCTCCTGCTGACAAACACACAGGTACACACACACACTGCTGTTCCGTGTGGAGTAAGAGCCAAGTGCTAGAAAGCCAATGCATATTTTCCTCCCTGCTAACAATGTTTCCCTTTTCCTCTTTCCTGTTTGAGTAAATCTGGCCTGGCTCCTAAAGCTCATGGCCATTTCCGTTACCTATAATGATTTTTATAATGCCTCGAGTGAAAGCTGCATAGGGAATGTTTCAGACCTGCCAGGCCTGTTCCTTAGGGCTGCTCAGCACACCCTGCCCCACAACCAGTCCCTGGTTGGCTGCAGTGATACTGGGGTGATGCTGGAGGGAGTGTTACTCAATGCAAAGTGAATCAAACAATGAAAACATTAGTGTTGGAAAGGGGCAGCTGCAGTGAGGGGGTTGTGTTTCATGGGCTGAGGTTTCAGATATGTGACCATGCTTCAGCAGTTCACCTGGTTTGATGTTCTGCGGTTGGACTTAGTCTTAAGGGTCTTTTCCAACCTAAATGATTCCATGATTCTATGATTCTGTGTTAGTGGGACCAGAGAAGGGTCTATGGTCATAGATCAGGTCATAGCAGAGCAGCTGTGGAACTCGAGAAGCTGTGGAAACTTGCTGGCTCAGCAGCTCTAAGCATCCCACCAGAGCTCTGAGATGGGTTGAAAATCCTCCCTAGAGGATCAGTACAGTGAAACTACTGTCCTAGGGCTGATGCCTTTCCCTTGACTTTCATGATTTCTGCTCCCATGGAATCAGCAACACTGTTTTTTCCCCAAAGATGAAGGGGGTAAGGAGCAGATGTGTGTTTTCTGAACAGTCCAGTTAATTTAATCATATGAAAGTCCAAATAAATTGCACCAGCGTAGGTATTTTGCTATGGGACTGTCCACAGGCCCATCTCAGCATCTTCAGGGCCAGCTGAAAGATCTCTGCTTCCTGCAGAATCAACTACAAATCCTCTATGAACAGCTGACATTTTGCTGTTCTTGGGCTGATGCCGGGAGGGTTTCAAACAGGGTGTCCTCTCCTGTTTGTTTCTGGGGAGTGGTTTATGGACACTGCAGAGAGCACCCACTGTGACCTGGAGAGAGAGCATTGAGCTTGTTCTTCAACTCCCACCTGATGTGACAGTCTCTGGTATTGTTTGCTTTGTGAGTCCGGACCGCAAGATCCTTATCCATAACAGAAGTAGGGCTCATCTGGCTGTCTCAGTCACTGCCCTTACACAAGGAGACATAAAACATTTTGTCCATAGACTTGATGATGCTTTTGTAATCGTAAACCTTTCTTGAAGATAGGGAAACTGAGGCCCTGTGTAGTGACTGTTGGATGTACTCCAGCACTCAGTGAGGCTGTTACAACACAAAGGCACAGTTCTTCTTTCTGCTCTTCTCTGGTTTAGGGCTGCAAAAGTTTGCAGGTGGTCCAGTGGCAACCAGAGACATCCATATATCAGCCACTGAGAACATGTAGAGCAGAGCTGAGTTCACCTCCCTCCTGCTTCTCATTGTCTTCTGGGACTGTGATGCTGAGGTCTGCAGTGAGTAGCCTAAGCTAAGATTTATTAATACCAGGTAGGAAATCAGTATCAGAGCTGGGAACAATGCTCTCAGCCCCTGCCATGACCTTTGGCTTCAGTCAGGCAAAGTCTCCATCCATTTGCAAGCATCTCTGGCTGCCATCCTTGCTTGTGAGCATCTCTTGCTTCTTTCCTTGTTTGTCAAAAGCTCTGACCATCATTCTTGTGTATATTGCCCAGGCTTTAACCCAAAATGGGATGAAGAGTTTACATTTGACATAGAGATCCCTGCACTTGCCCTGGTCCGGTTTGTGGTGGAAGACTTTGACATGTCGACCAAGAATGACTTCATTGGGCAGTACACCCTTCCCTTCACCAGTCTGAAGCAAGGTAAGGCCCTATTCCCTGTTCCTCACAACAGTGAGCCTTTGGGAAGCTCCAGTGTCCCAGAGGAGTGATCCACATCCATCACACCTCAGGTCAGAATAGGTCCCCTCTCTGGGATATGGGCAAAATGATAAACGGTTTATTGGGCAGCTGTTAACACTGTCTATGGGGAAGGGAGCCCCTTGTCACCAGTGGTGTTGGGCACAGTACATCATTACCAACGCTCAGAGCCATGCTTCTCAGACCTACCTGTTCTGGGTGGTACTGAGAGCAAACAGCTCTGAGACAGAGATGTTTTTGCAGAGTCTTGGCAAATGTTACCAAATATTTATCCAGCTGGACTAAAGGCCACTTTCCATCTGTGTGTCTGCTTCCAGGTTACCGCCACATCCATCTTCTAACCAAGAACGGAGACCCGTACTCCTCCTCCACCCTTTTTGTGTACATCAATATTGAGGACTGTGATTAGCATCTCAGCTCTTTCACAGTGAACCTCCTTATTGATGTAGAAGGAATTCAGCATGTGAAGTCTGCCAATGTCAGGGTCCCATCAAATCCCCAGCACATTCTCTGGAGCAGCCCGTGGTGCTCCACAGGACCCCTGATGTGAGATAGCCATCAACCTTCTTCCTTCTGTATGCTGGAAACATCCTGATGCTGCTGTTGAGATTAATCCTTTTGTACCTGTTTGACCAATCCAGCTGTGGTTTTAGTTCACTTAGTGTATGATTTTTTTAAATTTTGCTTTTAATGAGAGGATAGGAACTCCTTTTGAGCAAAATACAGCTCTTGGGTTGGGTTTGGTCAGACATCTGGACAAAGCATCTGTGCAAGAAAACACCCACCCTACCGTTGACATCGGTGGCCAGATGCCAGGTGACTTCTTGCAGCTTCAGATGTCAGCTGTGTTTCACCGTATGAAGTCTTAAACGGGGACTCGATTCCCCTCTTTCCTGTTACAGATTTAAAAAGAGAGCTGCACTACAAAGCCCCACGTTACATAACTCTGCTTCCCTTTTGTATTATAATGAAAAATACATGAACACTACTCTGCCTGTGTGCCTGGCTCTCGGCCAGGGCTCTTTGCAATCACAGCCTCGCTCTGCTCCTCTGAAGGAGAAAGAAGCTGCCGAACTGCAGAATTCCCTCTAACCCAAAGCGAAACCCGCTCAAAGGGACCTCAGAGAATGTCTTTTGTCAGTGTCAGTAGAAATACGCTCAACTGACCGTAGGCCTTTTTTTGAAATGCAGTAGAACTTTCTTCGTTTGTGTTTTTATAGAAAAACATAATTTTTTAACACAGAGGAAGTGGTGGTAGGAGCTGTTGTGAATGTTAGCCTGTCCCACTTGCACTGTAGAGGTAACCTAGTACAGACAGACAACAGTGTTTTGAACAGCAACAGAGTATTTATGGCAACAAGTGATTTTTCTTCAAGTACAAAGTTAAGGGAATATTGTTGAAATAAAATAATATATATTTTGAAGTGCCAACTATGTTACTAACAGTATGTTAGAATATTAAAGTAAAACAATCTGGAAAAATCCAATTACTTGTAATTATTTGCCTTGTCTTAATTGAATGCAGCACACATGAAATTGGAGATAAGACCTGCTTAAGTTCTTCAAGCTATCAGTCTTTCTGGGGTTTTCCATGCCCAGTGGTAGAGAGGACAGGCTGCTGTCAAAGAGGTTAATGTCCCTTTAGATCTTTTCCATTTCCCACTTATTTCTGAGTCCAGAATAGCCTGGATTTCGTAGTTCTTGGGTCCACAGCAAAACTGGCTTTCATTTAGTCCTACCTGGAGTTTCTTATGCTGCAGTTTTCCTTGCCGGACACACTGAAGTTCCCTCTTCACTACAATATTGTGTGATGTTGTAAACTGTTGCCAGATTAAATGTGAATTATACCCACAACTCAAAGGTTCATATTGAATTAACAACCAAGAGTTCAAGAGTGGCAGAAGCCACAAAGGCTGAACAGGGTGTCCTGCAGTGCCACGGGCTCTCTCTCAGCTCACCTCTGGGATGGGGCATTTGTATCAGGAGACCCATTTGAAGGCCAAGGCAGGAGCATCCTTGACTCCTACTCAGGGTGAGTCAGATTAACCTGCTGAGCTGACTGAGAGCAAATTATTCGTGGTTTGGTGTTGCAGGATTAGACTTCAATGGATTATTGAGCTAAACGAGCCCTCAGCTGGCTGCTGTAGTCAGTACCAGAGAAGTGGGGGACAGGGAGTGGAGAGAGATGTGGGGCAGGACCACACTATCCAGGGCCAGAGTGGGCTTATATAGACAACACAGAGAGGCCAGGAGTTTGTCTGCTTGTTGTGCACTTACTTACATAACAGTAGGCAAGATCGGTGGGAAAAGAGAACATCCCTGATGACAGGTAGGCACAGCTGGGGGAAAACTACTGGAGGCAGGTGGAAAGTAGCTGTGATGGAGACGGAATGAACCAGAGCAGGATAGATAATGCTGCGAGGTCTCCCTTCTCCCCAAAGGAAGGAGCATGGTCCATGCTGTTATCATAGGATGTCATCTCTGAGTAGATTAGGAATTTCTGGAGCCCCATTATAAGGAAGAGCTCTGGTGTAAAGAGCAGCAGAAATAGGACATGGCCCACCAGACGCCACAACAAAAGCAGCAAGTGGCATGAAAAGGAGAATGTGGGTGAGAATCCTTCCTTTAGAAATCAGAGGCAGAGAGTAAAAACAAGTCTCCCAACGAGGAGAGAACAGCAGCAGTTTACACAGGTCCAAATACCAGAAGGCTCTATTATCTGTAAAATCCCATTCTGGTTTCCAAGTTCTGGCAGAAGCACTTCTCTCAAGCGTTGGTGAGCATTGTGGCAGCAGGAATTAAAGCCATTTGTAGCAAACTGGCCTGATCTCCAAAACCCGACTCTATTTCTGCTCATCTCCATTTGATTACATGATGATCATTAGTCCCACACCCAGGGCTGATAGGTGGCACTTACGGAGAAGCACATGCAATTCGTTAATTTGGGAGATGGCAGGAGCATACCGCAGAGGGGTGATGCAAATATTGTTGCTTCCATCAGTGGCAATAGCAACTGAAATAGGGATAATGGGCAGTGAATGTATCTAGTGTGGACACAGCAGGAGCAATCATGCAGGTAACTTGGCTCATTTGTGTCTCTGACCCTTACCTTATTCTTCATGGGGTGGGGTGCAGGATTCAATGGGTTTCCGGCTGGACCCTCAAGCGGAAATTGGACAAGTGGTGGCAGGAGCATGGAGGTAATTTGAAATGACTATCAAATCTTAAACACACAGATCTATCCAGAAGACCCCATCACCTGCAAAGGTTCGGGCAGGTCCATTTCATGAACATCGTGGGGTTTCAGGAGCAGGGTATATGGGCATGGGGGGGACAAATGGTCATGGCTATGGTGTTCAGGAACAGATGGGGTTCAAAAGCTCCTCAGTTTGTTTTTCACTTTTCAAAAAAAAATCCAAATTCTACTAAAGACCAGGCGTTTGAAGGATCTCTGGCCCTGCAGAGCTTTTACCTACTGCCATCCTGCCCACATGCTGATCAAAGACACTCAGAGTGCTTCTGCTGGCTGTTTATTAGCAATCACTGATCAGGTTGGGAATGGAGTAAAGCTGCAAACCCACATCTTCCAAATTCTTAAACATATGTGTTTCTTCTTTTAGTTTATAGTTGTGTCCCTTAGTCACTGATCGCTCATATTTCCCCCTGCCCTCCCCAGTTAGGCTAAGCTGACAGTGTAGAATGAGCTCTCATCACAGAGATGGAGCCCTGATAAAACCTTCAGTGGGACATACTCTGCCTCAGGTCATACCCCAAACCCTCCCTGCTTCCCCAAGGCAAGCCTGTGGGCAGATGGACTCTTTTCACCTGATTGTGCTCAGGGAGGACAGGTGAGATTGGAGATGCTGTCTGAATGAGAGGAAAATACAGTCTTGTCTGGCAGTCAAACCCAACAACAGCTGTGTCTAGCCCTTAGTCTCATCATCCTTTTGAAAAAGATCACCTGATAAATACGCTTTTAATAAGTGGGGTTTTTTTTCCAAGTCAGGTTCTTGTTCGTTTTACCTGCACTGGGCAATGCATTTTAGTCTACAACTGCTTCTTGCTGTTCTTTGGTGAATAGTTTTTCTGCGAGCTGAGAAGCGTCAGAACTGTCTGGTGTCACCCCATGAGCTACACCACCACATATCTGGCTACTCCATTACCTTTCTCCTGATCTCAAGGCTCCCCCTCTGTCCTCCTAGGGTTTCCCCCTCCTCTCCCAATCCAGAATTCATGTAGCAGCTGCAAGTGGCCTTTGTCTTGCATAATTTTAAACGTCTACAAATGAAGGAAGATCATGACCTTGTGCATGTGGCAATTTGCAAAAGGGAGAGAAGAGGCTACAATATGATTGTGTGACACACACTTGTCTTCATGGCTATCAGCAATAAGGTGTCAAAAAGAGGCAAAATCATCCTGCGAAGTCATTCCTGCAAAAGGTTTTGCCTCCTTGGATTCTGGGTTTGTGGGAGAAAAGAGCCATCCCCTGAACAGTGGCTGTTGGAATAACTGCATTGAGATGGGCCTGATTGAGATGTTGGGTTGGGGTCATTGAGCAAATGTCTGTACTTCCCTGCAGCTCCTAAGAAAGCAAGGTTTGGTCCCAGAGTCACTGGATGCCAGATGGCCCCTGCGGTCTCAGAAGAGTCCATACTGCTTCTTCTCATTCTGCTGCTTCCATTTGGGCATCTGGTAGAACTCGTCCTTGGACTTCCCAAAGATGTCATAGAAATCAGCATCAGAGAGATAGTACTGCAGGGGGAGGAGAGAGCAAGGACAGGTCAGCTTTGGCTTTTGCAGAGGCTGGGACACCTCAATCAGCTGCATCCCCTCCTCACTGTGCCATCTCTGACCTCTGACTCCAGGCCAACAGCTCCTGTCCTTGTGGTGGGAAGTGGAACCCAGCAACTGTTCCTCATCCCACTTCTCAAAGCACCAGGCTTTGAGAGAATAAAAGCCCACCAGCCCAAAGGGATGATCTGGTTTTGAGGGTTAGCATGTTCTGGCTGGAACTCGGCCTCCACTAATCACACTGAGGCCAGGACAATTCCTGGTGCATGGGAGAAGTTCTGCTAGCCAAGGTTGTGGGTGGTTTATTAGGCAGTGATTCACAGTGAAAGCATCCCCCCCTTGCTCAGTCCCTTCCCCCAAATATTCCACTGGAAATGTTCACTCCCATTGTTGGAAAGAGAGAGAGGTTTGTAGATAGCAGGCTCATCACCGATACTGAGAAAGACCCTGTGGGAATTCCCTGGGATTTTGGGCAGAAGATAGCACTCATGTACAGCCCGGCTGAAATACATCCATGGGCATTGCCGTGGGGCAGAGCTGCTGCTCAGCTCCCTAGCTGAGGGTGTTGTCCTTTGCCAGGAGATCTGTTGGGGCAAGACATCAGTCAAACACGGGTTGTAGAGAGTAGAGGGAATCAACCCCTTGTGTCTCTCCCATCAGCTTGCTTGGACTCAGCTACAGAAGTTGCTGAAAACCTTGGGCTGATCAGAAATCTGAGACCTGGCATTCCTCCCTGTCCCTGGATGGGATTTGCCAAAATGCAAGCTTTCTGACAAAAAAAAACAAACAACCGAAGACAGAATGGTCCCTTCCTGAAGGAGTTTCGAATGAAAACTAACACCCACAGCCCAAGCAGAATGCAAATCCCAGCTTCACTCTCAGCTGTGTCACCTTGTCTTGTGGGAACTATCTTTTTGATCCTCTGTCCCTCCAAGGACAGAGGCTGGGCTGCAAAAATAAAATTCTATCAGAAGAAAATATTTTTTAAAATGACTACTTAAAATTAATTTTTCTGTCATTAAAAAATTAGAAACACTTAAGCCACAGTAAAACTACCACGATTTCCTCTCTCATGAAGCTCTTACTTTTTGATGAGATCTGTGTCTAGTTAGTATCTCCTTAAGCCTAAAGAAGGACTTACTAGTCTAAAGTACTAATGCATTTAGCCAATGACTAAGCGCCCAGTTAAGCTACAAAGGCATCAAACCAGCAATGCTGTCACCTCTTTTTTAGTGGGATCCACGCCTTCTGGAAGTTCATCAACTGCCCTGTTCATCAGCACCTCTCGGGAATAATTTTCTTCACCATTGGGCACCAGAGAAGGGCTCCTGTCACTGTTGTAGTTGCTGCTATTGCTGTAGCTGTTGCTGTCATTGTGGTTGAAGTGTGATTTATACTCTAGAGAAGCATTTGCCGTACTAGAACCTGCCAAGTTGGTCATGCTGAGGGTGCTCTTGTTCAGGCTGATGTTGTTAAGGTCCTGCCAAATGGAGGAAAACGTATCAAGACAAGAAGCTCTGGCAGATCAAGTTGGGGGTTGTCCCAGGATCTTTCTCTCTATCGGGGTTGGAGGGACGCTTTCTAGCACAGACTATCAGTAACACTTGGCCTGTTACTCCAAAGCAGAAAGGAGAAAGTCTAAACTAAGACATTAGTTCAGCCCCTCCATCAGTGTTAAAACTTGATGTTAGGAGTG